TTAAGATTTTACACTTGCTCATTCATTGAATTCTGGATTTATTCAGGTGGGTATGGGAGTATAGTTGAAATCGACGAGTCGAAGTTTGGTCGAAGAAAGCATTATCGTGGCCATCGGGTCGAGGGTCAGTGGGTTTTCGGTGGAATAGAGCAATCGACAGGTCGTTGTTTCATGGTTCCAGTCGAAAAAAGAAACAAAGAAACGTTGCTTGAAATTATCAAGACATGGATTAAACCGGGAACTACGATAATGTCGGATTACTGGAAAGTATGACTATATTTTAATAAGATTTTAGTGTCACTTAACTACAACTGTGTTTTTTCTATCTTAAACAGGCATATAATTGTTTGAACAACGAGGGCTTCCAACATCTGAAGGTCAATCATTCGATTGAGTTTGTGGATTCTGATACTGGAGCACACACAAACACAATCGAAAGTTCGTGGCGGCATGCAAAGGCTTCTCTTCCACAATACCGAAGAGAAAAATCGTTTTTTGGTGGTTACTTAGCCAAATATATGTTCATGAAAATGTGCAAATCCGCACATTTAGATCCAATAATTGAATTTTTTAAATATGCCGAACAGCTCTATTCTCCTCTTGAAGACTTGTCAGGTAAGCGGCCGAACGTAGTAACTAGGTAGAAGACTAATTTGTTTTTTGTGTTCATAGATGGAAGTGAAAATGACGAAGATGAAGATGAAGATGACGGTGACATCGACTTCAACAATATTTCTGAAGTCGATGCTGGAGTCGGAAGTGAGGGTGAGTGGAGGAAAGTTTTTCAATTAAAAGTAGCTGCTTACAAAACGTTATTAAAAATAAATATGATCTTCATAATCTACGTACAAAGCCAACCGAATGATGTGATTTTCTGAAAAAACGTTTTTTCGTCATAACTTTTTGCCCTTGGTACCCCTCAGGAATCAAGCGAAATTTTTATAATTTCTATTCAAAATCAATACTATGTTCGTAATCTACGTACGAAACTGAGTTCAATGATGTATATTTAGCAGAAAAAAAATTTTCTCCAAAATTTGTGCCTTTAGTCCCCCTAAGGCACTAATGAGAGTAACTTGAATTTTTTGTGGGTTTCGAGTGTTTGCCGCCAAGTTTCTTTTGTCAATTTATAGGTTTTAAGTGATGCTCTTTACGATGGAATAGTCAAAATCTGGATTCCTTAAGTTCCCCATAAAGTGAACTTGTTCCGACACTTTCTACGTCTTTTCATGTAGAAAGTGGCTCCTAGCGGCTATCTTTGATGGCTAGCGGGAAACAACCCTTTCGTATAGCGCAGATGTACAACTTACTATCAAAACAGCAAACGCTAAATGAATGGAGTGCTTACATTTTTCTCACCGCAAAAGAGCGTAGTTTGGATTAAAGTGGGACACTGCTACACTGGAAAACAAAAGGGCCTCAGTATCAAAAAGTTGCGAACCCATTTGAAATAGGGTGTGACCAAGCAACGCTTTTACTACAATTCCATTCCTTTATTAAATGCAGAAATATCAAATCAAACTTTTACTGTTTGCTTATTTGACAGGCTTCTGTTTAAACTAAAGTTTCCGATGTAAGATCTTGATGAACGAAGTAAAAGGTTGGTTCAAATGGCTGAGCTAAAATAAACTTGCATGAGTTCTCTTTTGATTAAGTGAAAAAAAAGTGCTGATTTTCTACTCGATACAGAATGGCGTGAGAGAATCTTGTTTGGATGAAAATCATCCATTTTTGGTCAAACTCTGATCTATCGAAGCTCATAATTATCTTAAGACACATAATTATGTCTTTTTGTTACTCGTTTTAGAATTTTCATAAATACGAAGCAAACAATGCTCGACTGACTCTTAAGTTCGGTAATTGATATGAAAAATGAGTGACGATGGAAAAGAAAAGCCTCAGCAATTAGCTACATCTTCGCCATGTCCGTTGATTGAAACGAAAATCGATAGCCACCTTATCTAACAAAATTATGTCAACAACATCCAGTTAAATTAAAAGATTTTAAGAATTTTAAGAAAAGTTCTCGATCGAAATTGTTCAAAATATAAATTTTTCTTCATGGCATCTGATAATACAATTGGAAAAGTGAAAGAAGAACTAATAAACGATGATCAAATATTACCTTATGCAGATAATAGTACCGATCGAATATTGGCCTATCTTGTGTCTATCGAAGGTATGTTGGAGGGTTTTTTTTCGATCCATAATTTGAAGCTCCTCAATATTTTTTTCGGAAGGGAGTACAACATCGGGAGGCGATCGCTCTTCTACAGCTAGCGGTCGAAAACATCAGTATAAACAACAACGAATAATTGACGATGATGCATTGACCACAACAATGAATAATTCATCGCTCATTCAACAGCCAAGATTACAACGAAATTCTCGTCGATATCATTCAGGTACTAGTCAAGATCATCATTTTAATCAAACAACAACGCCAACATCAGGATTCATCATTTTCCCAGTAGTAATCTTGATACAACAACATTTCTGGATGATACAGAAGATGACAGGTACGATCACATATTTCATTTAGCGTAGCTATTGATCTTTTCTCTTTTTCTTTAAGGTATTCAACTATTACAGATTCAACAACAGTGTCATGTCGATATCATGGAAGAGATCGTCAACGAAGAAGAAAACACCGGTTGCCAGCAGCTATTGATCGTGTAGGTGTTTGAAATATCTGTTTGACCTTTCTATTCTTCTATTCTTTGTTTTTCTTGTCTTTAGGCTTCATCATTCAGTAGTCTCAATTCAGATTCGACAATGATATTAAACATCATTACTGTAACATTAAACTTAGGTGCGTTCAACATATTTCCTATCAATTTTTATTTTTTTAGCTATTGATTGTTTCAGATTCTGTGAATTTTCTTGGCATAAGTATTGTCGAACAGAGTGACAAGAATGGAATGAGTGATGGAGGAATTTATATTGGATCTACTATGAAAGGGTACGAATTCAATTCGAAATTCAGTGGCAGCAACGCTTTATGTATTATTCTTTGTCATTTATAGTGGAGCTGTTGCTCACGATGGCCGTATTGAACCCGGCGATATGATTTTGCAAGTAAATGATATTAGTATTGAAAAGCTTTCAAATGATGATGCTGTTAAAGTATTACGTGAAGCTGTTTAAAAAACTGGGTAAGAATAAAAAATCTTGTAGTTCTTTTGCATCTATTCATTGTTATTTTTCTTTCTAGTCCCAGAAAATTAGTTGTTGCAAAATGCTGGGATACATCGCCTCGTGGATATTTTACATTACCCCGTCATGAACAGGCTCGTCCAGTTGATCCTCTCTCTTGGCTTGCGCATAATCAGGCTGTTACAAATACATTTAATCCTCAAGTAAGGCAATCGTTACAACACCATAATTCAACAACAAATATGAATTCATCTATATCACCGGGAAGCAATACATTAGCTGATAATGAAAGTAAGATACAACGTTTAAACGAACGTATCATATATTATTGTTTAATGACTTATTTCTTAGTGATGACTCTTCTTTTCTCAAGGATATGCTTTGGATCTAAATTTAACAGTAAATAGTGATATGGATACAATATTAAGAGCAATGACAGAAAAAGATTCTGGTCTAGATATTCGAGACCGTTCTTGGTTAAAAATGCCCGTTCCCAGAGCCTTTTAAGGTATGTATTTAGTATTATAAGTTATAGTCAAATGAAATTCAACTTATTAATATCTAATTGCAGGTTCGGATCTTGTAAATTGGCTATATGAACATGTTGAAGGGTTTATTCAACGTAATGACGCTCGAAAATACGCCAGTAGCATGTTGAAAGCTGGTTATATTCGACATACAGTTAATAAATTAACATTTAGTGAACAATGTTATTATGTTTTCGGAGATTTATATACGCAAGGTACGTTTTCTTTTATGCACTCTAGCCAAAACAAATGGGTAATGATATATACGAGTTTACTTTTGAATAATTGAGTCCAAAAGTAAAACTGATGCTTTTAAATTCATATTTTTTGTGTTCGATTCCAACAACTGTGTATTCTTGTTTTGTGCTTTGCTTTCCTTCTGTTCTATTAAGGGGTAAAAAGCACATTCCGAATGGGTACAAAATTTCTGGAATACCATTCCTGAATGGAAGAATGCCACTCTAAAAGGGTGGACTGCCATTCTGGAATAAAAAAAGTTTTTGCAGTTTTGGTCTAAATTTTGATCTAGATACAGCTAAGCTCAGCTTCTAAAAAATGAAATGCCATACAATAGACGTATTCCGAAATAGATACATTTGCCTGTAGTGCTCCCCCCTCTGGTGTTCTATCCTAGTGTCTGTCTCTCAAGTAGTTTGTAACGGCGTTTATTTTAGGTATATCCCAACTAACATTAGATGAAGAACCGGAAGATTATGAATCTGTATTAGAAAATGATCGTGATACATTGGCTCCATTAAAACCAACAACATACGGTTATCTAGATCAGAATAATACTGCACTTTATTCTTCACAATAAACATTTCACGATTCTACGTTACCAGCAGCTATAACGCAGTCAACGCATAGTAATTCAGGTAAGATTGACTATAAAAGCACACTAAATTGAACAAATATCATTGTAATTGCTTTAATTTAACTTTTTCCTTTGTCTCATTCGGATAATAACATCGTTAAGTGATCTCTAAGAAGTTTGTTCAAACTCTTTCAACAAGAAAAATTTTCTTTCAGTTATAAATGCACGGATACTTAGTGTGTTTAGTATTTTACTATTTCATTTTTTCTCTCTCCTACTCTCTAAACAGTTGAGCGTGTTACATCTGCTTTTTTTCTGATAAATCCGTAGCATCTAAAAAGAGTTATCATTATTTTTCATGTATTTCCAAAATATCTATTAAGAACGAGGATAATGATTAAGATGTTGAAGATGTAAATGGCATACACAGTCATTATAACACGAATAATGTAATAATGAGTGATAATTCAGTTAATGTTTGAAAATATGACACTACTCTCTTTATTGTAAAACAATCAGATAAGCATTATTAGTAAACCAGTTTTTTTTAAACAAAATCAACAATTTTCTTTTCACTTTCTGTTTCTTTTATCCTGTGATTAGTAAATGAATGAATTTCAATTAAAGAAAAATATCTTTTAGCTTATTCTTTTAGTTTATATAGCTAGTTAAAAAAAGCTTTCGGAATAGAATTTTTTTATTCAAGGATATTATATGATTCCCTAAACATAAATGAAAAAAGAATTTTTTTGTCGATAGACTTAATTACTTAAGTTTTATCTATGTGATGACAGATATTTTTTTTATCTCTGTTCTTTTTCTCGAAAGAATTTTGAAGATCTAGTACTCAAAACCGCATCGTTGAAAAGCTTATAGATCTATTGTACGTTTGCTTTTAACAGTTATGTGTAAAAAACGTACTTTTAATGTTAGTGTTTATTTTTTAGTGAATGTTTTATTACATTTGGCTCTGTCCATACTCACTACTAACACGTTTTTTATTTTCCATTTTTCCGTTGTCTATCCAGCACATACTGTATCGATCTATTTCTACTAACATTTCACTATTATTTATTCAAAAATATTAACAAAACTTGTTTTCTTTTAATTAGGTGATTCATCATGTTCAAAAGATGCTCTTAGTGTTAAATCATCATCAAGAAGTAGTACAACATTGGATATTGATAGTTTGAAATTATCATCGAAACAAAAACAACAGAAACAACAACAACATCACCATCATAATTCAACGTTAAATAATTCTAGACAATTAGAATCTGTACCAAATCAGTTACGTTCAAGTAAAGAATCATTTCTGCAAGCAATGGCTCATCCATGTAAACTTTTTGTCGATGTTATGCAACTCACTCATCTCATCTTGTATCTATAGCTCAGGTTAAAAACAAAATTGTCAGATACATGCATCTACTTATGCACATTTTTCTTTTAACTATCGATATGACATATGAATTTTTTCTCCTTTGTATGCAAAAAAATTTAACTCGAAACAAAATTGTTTGAATGTTTTCTTTCTTGTCAATATTGTTTATTCAGACAAAAGTTTTTTTAATTATTTCATTTTGTTGAATTATTTCGTATTAATTTATAAATATCTGTTATCTCTCTTGATCTGATGTTTGTTTAAAACATTTTTCTCTTCTTTTTCGACATTTAAAAGCTTTACACATTTTTTACCGGAAAATAAAGCTTTTAGTATATTTTGTCGCAGAAACTTCTATGTTGCAACTTCTTCTTCATTATATTTTATTTATTTTGACTTGTTAAACTACGCATTGCTTTTTTGTTTTGTTTTATGATGACTTTTGTTACAATTTGTACCCCAATGTTATTAATTTCTATTTTATTGCATCTGCGTTGAAGTTGTATTTGAAAAAGCATAGAAAATATAAATTAATTATTTCTCTTTCGTTATTTTGTATAGAATTTCAATAATAGAATCATTTGCTGTAGTTTATAGAATTGTAGTAAAGATTCGAAATGTATTGTATTACAAAATAATGCGTTGTGTTTATGCCTCCTGAGTAAAATTGGTCCGAAATGTCTTGTCCAGTATGATGCTTGTAAAAATGTTGTTTGTCAAAATAACGATACTTGTGCATCGTTGGATGAGCGAACGTTAAATTATGTTCGTCTATGTAAGGAACACTTTTACGGAGAGAAATGTTAGTATAAAAATGCTAAATTAATACTGGAAATTCCTCAATCATTATCTAGTATTCAGGCTTTGATTGTTCATTTCTTGCACATACCCAGAGGTATGATCGGTACATTATTACACCGAAATATTTACTTTTTCAAAAATTCGCATCAAATTCATGTTCAAGATCACAATCAACAATATTTATCACCCTTTATATTTGTTCAATTATTCTCCCATTATCAAGACTACTCTGGTTCATACTATCTCGTATCGATGTCCGATCAAAATCAAACAAATCTCACTTCGTCCATATTGTTGTATAACTATTGTCCGCACGTCAGTCAGTATATGAACGGAACGTTAATGTCATATGTTTGATTGAAACGTGTTAAATTTTATCATAAATTTTTGAAGCAAGTCAAATGCTTTTATGATGAAGTGTACATGTGTCTAGTAGATGATAATCAATGGTCCGATTGTCTAGTTTATAATCGTAATGTTGCTAATTGCGCGCAACACAACTATTGTGAAAATGATGGGCTTTGCCTTCAACGTAAGGAAATAGGGCAACGAAGGTATTTTTGCATATGTCCAGATTGCTTTTCTGGTTCGTTTTGCCAGATAAAAATGACTGAATATTCATTATCACTAGAATCAATATTAAGTCAAGAAATTTTGACTGATGTGTCATTAATACGGCAACCAGTTGTACACATTCAGAACATTTTTTTAAAACAGAAGCGTTTCGACGATTTAGACTCTTTGAGTATTTTCAAGTTTTCGAGATAAAAATAGAATTTTCAAACATTAGAACACATGTTTTTTGAATCAGCTCGACATACTCTATCCAACCAAGTATAATTAATTCGAAAAAAGTTTTTGCTTGAATTTCGAAATACCGGGGCATTTTACGTATAAAATTAACTTTCGTACCGCAAAAGCGAAACGCTTTTCAGGTGAATATCAGGTTTGAAAGGAGGTATATCTCTATAATTCACGTCATGGAAGCATGAAAATGCTAACTAGTATTTTCCAGTATTATCGTTAACAGTTTTTTCTGTACTTCATTCAACGTGATAGAACAATTAATATACCAAAACAATATAAATATGAAGAAAAAACACAAAATTATAAACCAATTAATAATAAAAGACAAATAACAATATTAAAAGCAATAACTGTTTTTGATCAACCAAAATTTTGTATAAATGTAAATAAGATTATACTAAACAAACGAAGAATTAGTTTTCAATTTTACCAGTATTAATTTTTCTATATTTTTTCAAACGAGAAATTTTTAGAATCAAGATCATGATGTTTCTCTATAAAATATTTTAATTTCAATTTTTTTTCGTTTAAGGAGGAACAAGTAATATTTCATCCTGATTGTCCATTTAACAATTGTATATGGAAATGTAGTAAAGAGAGTACAACGATTACACAATCGGATGCATCAATTTCTCATTATTCAGATATAAATCCAGAACAAATACAAACATTTCTTGAAAAACGATCAATCAATGAAATCTATATATTATGGATAGATGAAGCACATAAAGATGTTCATCATTTAGATGAATATAAATTTAATTAGACATTAAGTTTTCGTCAAGATTCAGAAGTATCAATTGCAACATACGGTCTGATAATAAAATTAGAAAAGAATAAAAATCGTCAATATTTAAATGATAAAACAATG